CTACTGTTGTTTATCAGGTGTATGTAACGGTTAAGACAGATGAACCTACTGTTGTTTATCAGGTGTATGTAACGGTTAAGACAGATGAACCTACTTTTATTGATCAGGTGTATGTAACGGTTAAGACAGATGAACCTACTTTTATTGATCAGGTGTATGTATCGGTTAAGACAGATGACTCTACTTTTATTGATCAGGTGTATATAACGGTTAAGACAGATGACTCTACTTTTATTGGTCAGGTGTATATAACGGTTAAGACAGATGAACCTACTTTTATTCATTCTATTGGAAGATGATTTTGGTTTATGTCCTCCATTCCTGAGGGCGTACAGGGTGTGGCTGTACTCGACCAGATCCTCGTCACTACCCCCATGGTTGGTGTCATTAGAGCTGACTGACCCCGTAGCTGATCCAATACCACTGTCATGGCTGGGGGACCATAAGTAATCATCTGATTGGGCCTGCTCGTATAGGCGTAGTAGGTCTTGTTGAGTTATGGTGGCGTCCGGGTTTGAGCTGGGATAGGAGAAGGAACATGTAACGTTAATAATGTTTCATCGCAACGCGCTGATCGAGACAACAGTCGGACATGCGAATCGGGAAATACACTACCGTCAATGAAATAAATCGTTGATGGTGATGATGATGTTGATAATGATGATGATGATGTTGATGGTGATGATAATGTTGATGATGATGGTGATGATGTTGATAATGATGATGATGATGATGATGTTGATGGTGATGATGATGTTGATGATGATGGTGATGATGGTGGTGATGACGTTGATGATGATGGTGATGGTGATCATGAAGGTGATGATGATGATTATGGTGGTGATGATGATGATGATGAAAATGATAACGGCATATTTACAACAATAACGAAATTGCGAGTCAAGTTGAAAGAAAGTCGCCTAATGTAAGGGAAGGTATTTTTTCATTGGTGGGGGAGGGCTGGGGCTTCAGAAGGGAGGGTCATTAGCAAAGATTTGAACTTTTGTGGGGGGTTAAAGCTTTTCATTTTTACGAAAACTAGTTCCTTGTTTGTAACTAAATGACAAGGGGGCCCACCCACCCACCCAATAGAAAACGTATCTTCCCTAACAACACCTTTATTTGTACATTAATCAATCAACCTCACCTCAACTCCATGGACCCTCGTTCTCCATTCGACACAGTCGAAGCATCAGAAGGTCGTCTGTCCTTATTCTTCTTCCTGGATGTCTTGATATGTGTAATAGCAGTAGCTGGCTTCATAGCCTGTATAATCGCACTCCCTATCCTTCTCAGTCCTGTCTTCTTCTGTTTGTCTTTACCAATACTCGCTCGCTTTTTTCTTTTGAGTGTCTCCGTCACGTCAGACCCAGTACTATTCATGCGCGTCAAGCTAGGCTTCTTGCGCAAAGTACCATCGTCTAACGTATCACACGACTTACTTCGTCGAGATCTCGGGGACTTCTCGTCTTTTATCGTCTTGCTGTCGGTTCTCCGAGACCTTTGATTATCGGAGCTGTCATTTGCTTTTAACGTACCGCTCTCATCATCAAGCCACGTGGGATGAACACTAGTGTGATTATCACGTGCTTTCAAAGTATCATCGTTCCCTTCAGAAGTTGACAACCTCTTTTCAGACTTCAAAGTGCTCATATTACTCTCTGAATCAGTTCTACATATATTATTTTCACAATTACTCGAGTGCCTCTTCCGCGGCCGAACACGCTCGCCATTATATCGGAAAAATTCGGAGCTCAGTCGTCTGCTCTTCGGGCGTGAGTCGGGCGTTCGGACAAAGGTACCGTTGTTGATTAGTACTTTTTCTTGCGGAGCGGTGGAAGTATTGACGGGTGTTCCGTTAGGGTTGGCGTATAGTAGTAATAGGGGCTGGTAATGACAGCGACGACACTTCTCTTGTATGACTGACCAATCAGGACCGATCTACAAATATAAGGTCACATGATCACTAACATATAACGGAACACAGGATTGGCTAAAAGAAAAATCTTTAAGTTATTAAAGTTCCTGTTTCCGGCGATTGCGTGAGCTGCTAATGCGTCATCTTTCACTGGTGTGGTCATGTGTTCAAGCCCTGGACCAGCCATCATATGTGAGTACAGTGTTGTTTGTTGGTTCTCTCATGTGCATCGAGGGCCTTTGTCCGGGATCTCCGGTTTTTCTCCCTCCGCAAAGAAGCAACTCCTAAATTCATATTTGATCATTGGATGAGGGCCACAGGTTTACTAGCCACTGGATATTAAGTGGTGCCCTCGTAAAGCAAGGACGTTTTTAATGCAAGTGTTAGTGTTTATCAAGCTTCTATCGAGACTTTTTATGAATTCATAAAATAACATTGTGTTCGTTGAATACAAACTCAAAGTTATTACTCAGGGTCTCATTTCACCATAAAATATTCACAAATACCAACGGCAAAGTAGTAAGAACGAACAATTTAAAAGATGTACAATTTTTCAATGTATTGACCTCTTACAAATAGACCCCTTACAGTATGTCGGAATGCAGCTTAATTTGGAGGACATAACAATAGGTTTCCAATTCTAGTTTTGTTTTGTCCTCCAAATCGAGCAGGATTGGCGTCACATGCAAGGGGTCTATGCAGAAATACTGTTATGTTCCTTTATTGATCAGACACAATTACTCAGGGCTAGCCTCATCTCAGTGTTAAAATTTTCTAACAATAATTTGTATAGGAAATCGCACGATCTCGAGTACAATTTGGAAATTAATAGACACGAGTAATGTTTTGAAAGTTCTTGTAATTGCACGAGCCTTTAGACGAGTGCATTTAAAGAACTTTCAAAACATTACGAGTGTCTATTAATTCCAAATTGTACGAGACGGTCATGCGATTTTTTGTTAATAGTTCACTCAACAAAATTTCAGTAAAAATGCGAAGCGGCGCCGTTCATCGTTGTCTATTTGACGGCCGATTTTCAGTCCATCGCGCAACTGAAATGCATAAAAAAGATTAGTTCTTACGGCTTTAAAATTTTATTTATATGTTTTTTAAGTACAAAATGATAGAAAATCATTGTTTTGACATTGTTTTGGCCGTGTTGCCATAGCGAATTAATTCGGTACTCCTACGGAGTACAATTAACGCTATAATTGTACTCCTCTCGACCAATCAGAGTCGAGTAATTTTGTTGAGTTTACTATAAAAATAGTAATTGTATTGTGGAAGCATTCTTAAATCGTCCATTATCCTCCCTCCCTGAATAAAAAATTCTGTTATTAAAGAAAAGAATGCAGAACTTCGAGATACAAACACCTCGAAATTCTAAGGACTTTAATAGGGACATTTTTGGAATTTAGGCTAACCCTGAGAATCCAGAAGTGGAGTACAGTAAAACCCCGCGTGTAAGAACCTAGATTTTTCCAAGTCAATCTGAACAGGTTCTTATATAAATGGTGCTTAACATGAAATCAGGCTATCTAGGTTCTTAAATGGGTTCTTAATTTTTGGTAAAAAAGAAAAAAAAAAGAGTATTGGTGGGTGTGGCATTTTATACAATAAATAATTCACATATTTTCATGCTAGCTGTACTAAACAAAAACTGTTAGGTAGTAACTATTTAGATCTTATTTCATGGACACAAGTTAACCACTCTAACATACATAGTACTGTATTTTATTATTTACAACAAATAATGGAAATTAAGAACCTTCTTTGACATTTCAGCCTGAAATGGTTCTTATGTGAAGGGTGCTTAAAATGAAATGTTCAGCCTGACAGGTTCTTCAATTTTAGGTTCTTACACGCGGGRTTTTACTATATTACGAATGGTGAGGCAGCCTTACCTCTTGCACTCGGGCATCATCGAAGTATATCCATGTTTTTAGTTTACTGTGAAAGACGAATGTCGAGTAGTGCTTGCCGTAGTATGTTACTATGCCAACCAGGTTGAGGGACGCTCGATGAGCATTGTACACATGATGAAACAGCTACAGCAAGAAAAGACTTCAGCATCAGCATTATCACTATTACCATTAACATCATTGTTTCACTGTCATCATCATCATTACAATAAGCATCACCATCATTATCAAACACCACTGCCATCGATATCATCATCATCGTGGCCATTATCATGACCATCACCATCACCATCGCCATCAACAACATCATCTTCATCACCATCACCATCAACAACACTACTAACATCACTAGCATCGATATTATCATCGTCATTGCCATTACCATCACCAACATTACAGCCATCAATATCACCATCATCAACATCATCATTATCAACACCATCAACACCACCACCACCACCACCACCACTACCATCGATATCATCATCATTGCCATTACCATCACCAACATTACAACTATCAATATCACCATCATCAACATCATCATCATCAACTCCATCATCATCATCACCATCAACACCATCATCATCATCACCACCAACACCATCATCACCATCACCATCACCATCACCACCACCACCACCACCAACACCACTACCACCGATATCATCACCATCATTGCCATTACAATCACCATCACCAACATTACAACCATCAATGTCTCCATCATCATTACCAACATCAACAACACAATCATCATCATAATCAACATCAAACACCAACACAATCATCACTATCATCGACAACAAAATGTCAATGTCACCATTATCGACATCAACAATGTCAAGATGAACATCGATATCACCATAATCATCATCATTATCATCGTCATCATCATTATCATCATCATCACCATTATTGTCAGCATCGCCTTCAATATCATCATTAAATACGATCAGCATGTACGGACGGACGGACGGACGGAGAGAAAGACAGACTTACATATGGTAATTTTAAGGTTGTACCAATACACTGTAATACTTCTGCTATATGATCTGCTTCAGGTGACTCTGAATCCCAGTTGAGACCAACACTCACTGAATACATCCAATAAAGAACAAATAATTAGAGACAAAATAACAACGCCTTTCACTAGAGTGGTTTCACGGTAGTCATGTCCTTGGGAACTTTTTTTTCTTTGAGATATGAGATATGAAAAATTTTAAAAATAAACAAAAAAAATCTCTCTCCATGAAACATTTAATTGCGCTTGTTTGCAACATGGCTGCCATAAAATCTATTTTGATACAAGGTTTCATACGCGGTCTAAAACAATGATACATACGATTAAAATGACAATACATTGGTCTTCCAAACAATGAAACCTAACGTACAGCTTAACAAAAGAGGTGCTTTACTATGGGGCAATCAAAAAGCAGGTTCCGAAAGGTGCGGTCTTTCTCCTTTTACTGAATTACCACTGTTTTCATTGCTACGCGCTGATTGAGACAACAGTGGGGAAATGGAAATCGTGAAATAGACTACCGTCAATCAAAAAGAATAGACACAATGTCTAGACAGAGAAAATGTCGTGTGGTAAGGCACGTACACAACTGAAGACACCCCCTGAAACAATTACAGCGCTCTAATTCACTGCTCATCCAATCAAAATTCACTAGTTAAAACGCATGGTCGACTTACCTATTTCTGGGCAGTTGAGTAATGATCGTTGAACTCTTATATTCTCATCACATTCAGGACTCTGATAAAACAATTACACCACAACTAGATTAGCTATAGAACTCATAGACCTGTTTCTATGTACAGCTATTTCAAAAAAGGTTGATGAAGGTTTTGTTGGAAGTTGCATACGGAGCCCGACCTTTACTATGGGCAATGTGAATCCAAGCAGCGAAATGCCACAACGATATGGAATTTTCCCAAACTTTATCTGCACGTTTTTCCGGCATAATTTCTTCTGTGTTGACATTATTTACAAATGAATATCTTACATATCAAACTGAGTAAGCAATATGCAAAATGCAACATGCAAATGCAACAAGCAGCATGCAACATGCACCACGCAACATACAGCATGCACCACGTAACATGCAACACGTAGCACGCAACACGTAACACGCAGCATGCAACATGTAACGTAACATATAACATATAACATGTAACATGTAACACGCAACCTGCATCATGCAACAAACAACAACATGCAGCGTGTTTACTGTACCAACTTTGTTATATAGGATAACACTTGACAGTAATTCAACTAATACGCTTATGATTCCTTTAACGTCTGATGTTCATTAGCCACATGAAAGCCTAACTATACAGATGTAGTTACAAAGGCATCATTTTCTCCTCAGTTATTTTAAGACCCCCCCAAGGGCAATGTTGGTTGTCTCCCTGGAAACAACATTGTTTAGGGGTGTCATTTTAAGGGGAATACTCTTTCATATTTTACGAATATCCTTTGCGAATAAATAGCTCTTATTAACCGAGTGCGAGGTCCGTACCGTAAGTTATGGACCGGGTATTTTTCACTGCCTTATGGCCCAAGCGCGTAGCGCGAGGACAATAAAAAAGGGGGGGAAACGAGGATCCATAACTTACGGTACGGACCAAGCAAACGAGGTTAATAAGATATTTATTATATGGCAAGGCATTGAGATTAAAAAGAGGCGAAGCAACAAAAAGTAAAGTTGGAAGGGCTTCCTGTACGTGCCAAAAGTCATGTAGTGTTTGAGTTGCTCAAAAAGAGAAGTTTTAGTTTACTTTGAATGAATTTAGCTATAGTTTAAAGTTTTCTGAAATACTAGTGACCGAAAGAGAGGCTTTCCTTTGCAAAACATGCAAATGCAAAGCAAAAAAGGCATCAAAAGAAGACCTCAAGAACTCAACATGAGATTGAGAAGAAAACTGTCGTACTTCAAACTTCAAGATATTCACAACCAAGATGAAAAATACTACATCCTTCCGTTTGTTTTCCCGCCTTTTATTGGGAAAAAACTCAAAAACTGTCTCCAGAAATGAATGAGAAGTTTTGGAAAAACTTGTATGAAAGAGTTGTCGCTTGTTTGATACGTTTTACATTAAATGCCAGTGACTATCAGTTATCTTTGATTATTTATTGAAGGTTTCCCGACGATTTTCATCGAGAAATATATTTTTTGGATGAATATTTTAATGTTTTATAAGATCATAAGTACGTACATTCAGTGAACCATTTCATTTTTCGGTCCGTACCGTAAGTTATGTACCGCAATTTGACCAATCATAGCGCGTGAAATTACCTTGCCATATAATAAGGATAAGTTACCGAGTGAAAATATCCATTAAAACTAAAGATATCTCAACACTTTTGTCCTAGATGAGCCTATGAGACTTACAGCACAATCCCTAGTGTCTTCTCCAGTCATTCTTAATAATGTACCAAAGTGTTTGGTATGATTATATTCTTCACCTAGAAACTTCTCGATCCTTCTTGCTTTGGCGCTGAAATAAATTAAACATGATATGCTTTAGCAAGACCTTTCTTTACAAGTGCATTGTTTTCTTTTCAAGACCACAGGTAAAGTACATCTGGTATTCCGGAGTTTATGACTTTGATGACACATAAAAGATAGACTGGGAAAATAAAGGAAAGCTCTTTCCTCGTCTTCCATTGATAAGTCTATCTTGGAGCAGGCGTAACTCGGTTGGTTAGTGCGCGACCTTGAGAGCTTGAGGTCCACGGTTCGATCCTTAGGATCTCCACGTCTGTTTCGACTTCTCTCTAATCCGTGTAGCTTCAGCTTTAAATACTCTTAAAACAGAGCACTGATGTAGAGAGGGGGTAAAGTGCGCACTGTCGGCTTCCATTGATAGCAGTTGAATTTCAACTGAAGGAACTACCGACRTTAAATATAGGTACTTTACTCAAGTCCCCTAGAATTTGAAATAAACTTTAAGACCCTCGCTTCACATTGAAAGTTTTAGCTGAAACTCGTGTGCAACGGCGTTTTACGGGAACCGGTGTTAAACTACACGGCACAAATTCGTCCCCAAACGTCTTAGCAACACAAGTTTCAGTCACACGAAAAGTTTCAACGTGTAATAGGGCCTTTGCGAATAAGGATTTATTTTCATTTAAGGCAATATTTATACAGGCACATATAATTTAGCAAAGCTAGTTTAAATAGAGTCCTGATAAATAGTTAATAATATGTTCACATATTTATATTCAAAATATATATATTTGTATTTTTCGATTCAGGTATACTTAAAACCCGTGCGTTCTGATTGGCTGTTGGAGCGGGCCGTATTTTCGAACTCCGACCGCGGCCCAGTGTCCTAGGATACCAGATTGCTAAGAAACAAGACATGATTATAAAAACAAGCGGAAGTAAATGAAAAAAAAATTGCAATAATTCACTGTGATTTTCAACATTTCGCGAATAACGAAACTTAAAGGTTAAAACGGCTTGTTGTGAAATTGTTTTATTTATTCCCGCCAGTCAAAAATATAAAACGTACCTACTGATACTTTTTTTAAAGCCAAGAACTCTCGAGTTTGCAGAATATTGAGAATCACAGCTAGTAATTACCACTCTAAAGTCAGTCCGGTCAGTGAAAAACTGTTACTTTAGTCCCTACATTCAAGACCTTAGGCATGAGTTTTCCCTACCCAGACCTCCTGGCCAGTAAATGGCCTATATATCTTACCATAACGCTGATGCTGACACATAATGAACTGTCTGGAAGAATGGAAGTGGTTCTGATTGCTCACCACAAGGACACACAGTCTGGAAGGAAAGGGCAAGGTTGCTATTAATCTCTTAAGAACAATATCCCGATTTGTTTGTTTGTTTCTTTTCTTTATAATTTTTTTTCTCCTTTTTTTTTTTTTCTTCCTCTTTTTTCTTTCTCTGGAAAGACTGGAACTGGACATACAAATGTCTGTAAATTTGCCAATTTTCGACTGAAGTTTTCTCGGCCGATATAACACCTGACATAATGAATCTTTTTAGGGTTACTAAAGTGAGGGTGCTTTTGGTTTTTGAACTGAACACATTTCAATTTTCGGCCGCCATTTTGGCAAAGGGTCTATTGCTGTGTTAATATGATCATTACCTGTTCTATGATCTGCATGGCAAACTTCTGGTGGGTTATGCAGTGCTGTGCATTACAGCCATCATCAGTTTCATCCATAGCTAAGTGGAAATGCATGCGGGATAGGATAGTTTCCTGTAGATGTGAAAGAAAAAACATTAAACACTAATAAAGATAACATGAATGAATAAACTTCAAGAGTGTAACACACGACAGTTATAATACTGTATTAATAAAAAAATCATACTGATAACCAAGTGGCCCTCATCTTTATTGCTGAGCTATAAAATGTCTTTGTTTTTTGTTTTTTCCTCCGCGACAAAATAGCAAAGTTGCGCAATAGTTACCCAGAGGTCTTCAGGAACTTACCCATAACTTAACAGGAACTTACGTATCTGCTATAGGATTCCCGTCTATAGTCCAATCAATTATCATGTACCAGATGTCAATCAATGTCACTATGTTGTCAAGCAATTATGAGATGGCGGAGCTAGCAGATCCCGTGGAAGAGGTTATTGTCTACGCATGCTCTAATTTCGTTGACCGGCGTAATTCAAGACAGCCGAACTAGAAATATTAATTTATGAATTTCGTAAACAAGGAGAAGATAGCGAGGATTTCGAAGGATTATTTCTAAGAATTTTTACTGAATTTCATGGGCAAAAGCTTGTGTTTTGGTCAACTATTCATGATTCATCTACTCGAACAGTATTTTCTGCACGAACAAGGGAAGATCGATGAGGAGAACAGGGTTTCAAGAGTCAGAATTACGATAAGCGATAGTATAAAGCAAATTCATTCAGCATGATTCGTTATTCTCTTRAACTTGACAATATAGTCTTATAACCTATATTTATTTTTTTTTAACTGTTTTGGTTTCATAGTCTACTCACAAAGGAACATGAGGTACATGTCAATATTTATTTTAAGATTCTATTTGATTTAAGCAAAATAAATAATTTGCTACGCACATACCAGGGCATGATATTTGCCGTTCGAAGCGTTATGATCTCTTTAATTTGTCTTCAAAAAAATGGCGATTCAATAAAAAATATCGCCGGATAAATTATAAAATTATAAAATGTAAAGCAATTATGAGAGAGGTTTTGAGCAAATATCAGCCTGTATTTACGTTTTAAATGAAGCATTTTGATTTTAAAGCGAGCCGTGCGAATTTGCATGTTTTTGAAACGTGTTACTAATTACGTATGCGAAAATCAGGAACCCGGAACTGGAATTGAAGTTCCAGATTGAGTTATTCGACGAGTTTGATGAGTATGGCATAAACGCTCTGCCTACAAACGGCTTTTAACACTGTCGTTCGAAATTTTGCGACTTATTTTTACTTCTCCTTTAGATGTTACAGACTCTGATACTAGTAAACCGTCCCACTCACCAGGGTCTGGTTTATCACTACTTCGAGACGTCACGAAATACTTTATCAGTATTTTTAGGAGCTTAACCAACTAAATTCTCCATGCATGTTGAAACCAGGTCCTCCAGGTATCCCAGCTTACCCTGGAACCAGGGTCTAGGTTTTTTTTAAATCATGAATAATTAATGAGCATTTAAACCAATCGGGTCCTTCAAATCCATCACGTGCATGGATCTTTATACCTGATAATAGTTCAACATGGATATATTTTTATTAATACTTTGAAATCTTTATAAGGACCAAAAGAGTACAAGAGCAAGACACGAATAAGGACCCTAAATGCGCATTAATTATTCATGATTTTTTGAGGTTGTTCAATAAAATCGCAGATCGTGTTTTATTACGTCTTAAACCATTTGGCTACGCTTCGTGGTTTTTAAATAAAAGATTCATCCTCATAGTAGTACATACATATCCTTGATTTCAATACGGGATCTCTAAAAAAGAAATTGCTATTCCAGAGAGCCGAACATGAATAATGAACAACAATCCAAAGTCATCTTTAGCATTCTATAAAAATAATTACTTCCTATCTTAAATTAATATGTCATATAATAGATTATATGATTAATCCCAAAAGACTTTAGGCTTCTCTGCCATCTAGTATAATCGGACACACGGTTCCAGCAGAGAACTGCTCCCTTATAACGGAAGCTGTGTTTCCCAGCTTTAGTATGTGGTCGCAGTACAAATACATTATAATACCTTAATGGTCAATTTACTATTTTACAATAACTTGCAAACTTCTCGCGCGCTGATTGGTTATTTGTTACCATCAATAAGAGGACAGACAGATAAGACTGACGTCAACGAGCGCGCGCTCTTTCTGTCAGTTGTTTTGATCAGTAAAAATGAGAAGTTTTTATCGTTTTTGTTATTGGAAAAAACAAATTGACATCAGTCTTTTATGTCTGTCCTCTTATTGAAAATGTGATGACGCAATTTATCGTCACGCAATAAGAGGACAGACACATGAAAATTGATATCTATTTGTTAAATTTACTAAAAAAAAATACTTTTTTGCAATTAGGTGGATGTTGAACACGAAGCATTTTAAATGAAAATAATTAGATTTACTTACAAAGCATTCAGCAGCATCATCCATGTCACCCATTTGGAACTTGCGCTGGTCCTAAATAAAATTGAAAAAAATTAGGACAAAAGAATGACTGACAAACCAAACGACTGATTATTGATTAATGGATGAAGAAAACTTGAAATGGAAATTTTTTTTTTTTTGGTCAAATTCAGACAATATATCATGTATGATTGAGAAGAAATATGTGGATAGAATACAAAGAATCTTATTCTCAAGAGAATGAGAAATGAGGGAATACTTCTCCCACACATGGACTGGTACTTATTTGACTTTTAACTAAAACTACAGACAAGTCTGTGAAAGAATCACGATTACTGTATTGTCCTGTGCCATGACTGTGAAAGTGTTGTGTTGTGTTCTGATTGGATGAAAATTCAATCAGAGAAGCACATTGGTGTGTGCTGCTAATTGACCATATCTCACCAATGCAATCCAGGTTCAATTCTAGGGCTCATTGTCGTATGTATACTGAGTAGAGTTGTTTGTTGGTTGTCTCCTGTGCTACAAGGGTTTTCTATGGTTTCTCCAGTTTTTCGTCTTCCACAAATATCAGTTTCTAGATTCTAGTTTGATCTATTAGTAGCCTTATCAAGTGGGTTGTCAATTAAACCTATTATGCTTTCCATCCACTCTGGAATGCTAAATGCAATAAATTAGATTTAGAATCCTATGTTGAAAACAAACTTATCTATTACGGCGCTTGTCAATCACGTGTGAAATCGTATAATTTGCCATTATGACGAAGTAGGTTTTGGTGGACATCAATCAATGCGCTTCCATGACATTTCATAGGCATGTGCCCTTAAAACCTTTGTGTTTTCCGACAGTGCTGGGAAACACTTTGATTGGCGTCCACCAAAACTCTATTATGTCTCAAAAACAATTTTCACGATTTCGCGTGTGATTGATCAGAAGTGCTGTAAGTTGTTGTTTCGTTATAGTAATACTACCATTTGTGAGCTACTGTGAGGCATGGTGTGACAACTAGATTTTGAAAAGTTTTAGTTTGTTGCAAACTTCAAGTTATAATCTTTTCAAAACCTACTTATCACACCATTCCTCAGTACGGCAGCTCGTAAAARGTAGTAAGTAACATACTTTGAAGGTGTTAGCCATAGCGATTCTGAGAGCATCTGGAGGTAGAGCATCATTATTGCTGTACTGAAAATCTTTAAATATGTTCTGTAAGGCACAAAATATGCAGCTCTTTCCCATACAGAAATGACCCTTGATTTCACGGAAACTCCTCCTGAACACATCTAAATGCCAAAACACCTGGAATATACCAAAGAAAATTCCCAGTTATAAGCCCCTTCAGTTATAAGCTCCTTCAGTTATAAGCTCCTTCAGTTATAGACCCCTTCGGTTAAATCCCCCTTTGATTATGAGCCCCTTTGGTTATAAGCCCCTTTAGTTATAGGCCCCTTTGGTTATAAGCCCCTTTGGTAATATGCCTCTTCGGTTATAAGAAGCTTCGATAAAAAGCCGCTTCACTTCAATCATAAGCTACTCCTGTTATAAGCCCTCACAACTCAATGTAAAGTGCCCTGATTATATCCATGTAAAAAGGGTGCTATGTAAATCATTGATCATTGATCATAATCATTATCATTATTGGTAAAAGCCCCTTTGGTTATAAGCCCTCCCGGTTATGAGCCAACTACTGTAGTGTGCTAACGCAAATATCTAGGTTGTCTTTCTCATACAAATCCTTGTAATTTCAAAATTTGTTTCAGGTATTTGTGCCATAGCAATGAAATTTGGCGCAATTATTAATGTGAGCATGTTGTTTCATATGCCGGCCACACTTCAGCAATTAACACAAAAAATATGAGAATGTATATAAACTACCTATTGAACTGCAGTTGCAATGTATCAAATTGAGCTGATCCTTGCAGTATATCAAGCAACTTATTGCAGCTGAAAATTAAAAGACTCAGAAAAAATTCTGAGTCTTGAATGGGATCTATATTGTCATAATTTGCTTGTAATAATCATATGATCATAACCATCACAGCATCAAGACAGAACAATGGAGATCTAGATTAGTCTAATTATACTAGATGCATACAGTTGATCTACTCTTAGCCTATGATTATCAATATACAACATAAAAAAGAAGTTAGGTGGTAAGAWTATGGGTGGATACAATATTGGACAGTGCAACTGGAAATAGTTGATTCAGAATGCAAGCATGCAATAAACACAAAATGCACTTAAAGGATTGCACAACTTCGACTGGTACATATTTGGCAGACAGTTAAAATCTTATTATTTATATCTAATTATTTTATCTTATTATCTTATTTCTCAATGTATGGACTTCTCACAAATTAGTTAAGACACAAAAACAACAGTAAAGTAAAGAATGCACAACTTCAACAATACAAACACTGTGAAATTCCAAAGTCCTTCACTACAACGTGAATATATAATATTCTTAAATAAGTACAGGTAACAGATAATTCATAACTGGAGTAATGATTCTAAATTCAAGAACACGTCATGATCTAGTAGTGTAGGAAATTTTTGAGTGATGTCAAGGAAAAAGGCTAGCACATAGGATGTCTTTACACTTGAACGACTTATAATCAAGTCACCAGGATAAGGTCATGCAAAGCAATCAACCATTCACCAACGTTGTGTATGTGACAAAATCCATTGATAGAGTTTAGTATGAGGTTCAATGAGTATGAAGTGCAATGAGGAGAGATATCTTACTGATGCACTAATAACAGGAGAGATTTAACAAATTGAAGTCAGTTTTCTATGGGTTTGTACTGATCGATTTGTTTTTTACTTTAACAATTTCGAAAAAAATTAACAAAAAGACAAGTAAAAAGTTTGAAAACGCCGTTTCATCCACTCGCTCAGTAAGCACAAGCAGGTTTAGCCTCTAATCGAAAATGGGTCTAAGCCAACCACCGCTTGAGAAATTTCCAAGTTATAGTAAAAATCTTATTTAATAACAGGAAAGATATCTTTTGATGCTTTAAAAACAGTGAAACGATATCCCTTGCAAAAGAATATTTTGGGAATAATCATTAAAATCTTCTCAACTAAAGATGAAAGCTTACCAAAAATATTTCAGTTATAGAAACATAGCTTTATGTACTCAGAAAAATTAATAGGTAACTTTATCATTTTTGTAAACAATATTGTTTAAGAATGATTACACATTATTATAACCTTCTTAAAATTCAAGAAATGTGACTTTATGGCTTGCTGCTGAAAACACTTAACATAACTTAAATCTTTACAATTTACTGTAAGCTTTCAAGTATGGCTAAATTAAATACTTCAAATTGTTACAAGTTTGTCAAGATTAAAAAACTATTATAAAGTTGAAATCAATAGTTCTCCAGAGATCTGATAAATGCTGATAAAATTCTTTAAATGACATTTAAGCTGGAAAATATTTCAAATAATTGCACTTGGCCTTGATTTTTAACAACAAGAAAAAAATTTTCTGTCTGTCGACTTTTATTTGTCATTACAGATGGATATTTTACTGTCTTGACTGCAGATGAGAAAACTGTCTACCTGTCCTGTTCCATATTAAATGTCTAATAAATTAATGATTAGCATATTTTTTTGTGACTAAATATTACAAAATGAATTAATGTGACTTGTGATTTATAGAGTACAAATATTGCAATATTTATGAGTAGCATAGATGGAGTAGTGGTTTACTGCTCGCCTCTCACTGCTGTGGTCCGAGTTCGAGCCCTGGCTCAGACTGGATCATGTGAATTGAGTCTGTTTGATCCCTTGTTGTCTCCCTTGCCACAAGGATTTTTTCCGGGTTCTCCAGTTTCCTTCTTTTGCAAAAAGCAGCATGTGAGGTGATTGTTGTATGTTGTAAAATAGAATGTAGTGGTAGTGCTTGTCGAGGGAACCTCAAGGAAGAGCTCAATACAGGGACTGATGGTTGTAAAATATAATTGAAAAATAATACTATCATCGTAAGTGATTTTGTTTAAAAGGTTAAAATTATTACCCTGCCTTTAAAGATAATTAGTTTTAACAAATTAGTAATGAAATTTTTTTTTTGAATTTCTTGTAAATTCTTTAGCACAATATATTCTTCCAAATTTAAGGATTAAATCACGAAATGGGGTAAATTATTAGCAAACAGGGGTTTTAATTAAAAGTACTTCTTGTTAATAGTGAAATATATTTCCTGTTGTCAAAATTGAAAAAAAAAATTGCTGGTTATTAAAAGAAATGAAATATTTGCAGTCATTAGCAACATAGTTTTTAAGGTGTCAAAAAATTTCATACAATTATTTAATTATACTAAACCCATGAAAATCACATGAAATCATTATCTCTATAAATGCCAAAATCTCTGTACTGCAAACAGCAGAAAATCCCAGGCAATACATACACAAGAAGAAAAAATTGATATGAAGTTTCAAGCAGTGGTTTGTGATAATGATAAATCAAAACCTAACACAAATATTTGATTTTATAATATTTTAGTTCCATGGTTTTAGGAATATATCTTTTTAGAAACCACAGGAAGTGTAAATAAATAGTGAGAAAAATCTGTTATGATTAAAAAATTACAAACAAAAATTCTGATTCAAGATTTTCAGTAATTTCGTGTTGTGAAAATCTAAAACTTTATCCTTTAAAAATTTTTTTGTAAATCAGTGTAGTAATGAGTCTCTTTACAGTAGAATTTTTTTTAGCAATTTGATGTTTCCAAAAATTTTTTTTTTTTAATTTATGTTTTACCAAGGAAAAGCTTTATTCAGTAAAGAATTTATTGTAAATCATAGTAATAGTAACGAGTCTGTTTACAGTAGCAATTATTTAATAATTAATGTCAACAGTTAATCATCATCTACTTACGGATACTACACTGAAGTATGAAGTTTTTAGGAGTCATAAAAGTCATAACAAGTCATTAACAAAATAATAACATCTGTAATTTAAATTTGAATTTTTAATCTTGTGTTAATAGAGCAAATTTTAACACAAATTAGGTAATTTAAAAGTATTTGATTAAAAGTGTTTCATGCTAACACATTCTTAATTCCAAGAATTTTGAAAATATAGTAAGTTGGGTAATTCAAGTCCATAGTTTAAGCAATAATGTAAAGGATTGCATTGAATAGTATTTTGATTTTGTATTGAACAAATGATAAATAAAACCAAACTTTTACCTAAATTCATATGGATCGTAAACAACTAAGGTTTTCTCTAGCAAAGTAGCAGAAGATTTGAAGCAAAAAAAGGAGGGATTGATGCCATAATTTGAAGTGCAGTCACTTGTGTTGTACAATCTRCAAAGGCAGAATCTGTCAAGTGTTATTTTTTATGTTAAATGAAGCAGAGGTCACTTAACGTATGTGACAGGCAGTCACAATGCATTGATTAAACAATATAAAGCATATCAACATACGGCCCCAGTTACTCTACCCTGTGTAAACAAGTATGCTGAAGTCAATAGCAATTAAAATCCCACAATTTCCTACATTATAATCTAAGTTAATGGCCTGCGCACGCTGACATAACACAGTAAAGTGCTTTTATCCTCATAAAGAGCTGTTATTAATATTGATTAATGCTTTATTACTGTTTTGCGGCATCTGGGCAGTAGTAGTTTTAAGTAGGGAAGGGTATTCATTTCATGCTGTGTAAACAAACACATATCCAGAATCTCTCTCTCCCCCATCATGCAATATATCTTTCCACAGATTCTAAGCATTAAAACATCATTCTCGCAATTTTTATAAATTTATCATCAATTAATTTGATTTTGGCCTACAACTATCGTATACAACACGCTCCCGCCATCCTAAACTCGAGTCGTCGCGTGTAAATCAAGCCTACAACTCGCCTACGACAGACGCGTGCAACACGAAAAAAGTTGTAGGATTTTAAAACATATTTTTAAAAAGCTACGACAATCGTAGGTGTCATGACGCGAGCGTGTTGTATACGATAGTTGTAGACGAAAATCGTACCGTCTAAATCGGCCTTAATAGATTGTGCAAGAGCATCCTTTCCAACTTTATTCATAGAAATACTTCTGCATAACAAAGGAAAACCTCCATGCTTGAGTTAGATTCTTTGTCAATGCAGAACACAGGACTATTTAATTCTTCTTAAACGTCCTTTGCTTCAAGCTAAGCTTATTCTTTGTGACCTCACGTCTTTATATCAAATAATATAATACAAAAAAGCCTTTTCTTCCACAAACACGCTGTACTATCCCCTGAATTATTTGACAAAACGACCCTTAATACATTCACTAGAATAATCCTCTCAAAACACAAATATATATTAACAAAACTTAGCTATGATATAGAAAAAATTATAAACAAAACATACGACTCGGAGTTCATTCAGGTATAAACAAAGTACAAAATTGAACCACGTATACAAAAAAATATACTAAGAATTATAACTACTTAGAATAAGCAAGAAATACTATTCCAAAATGCTTTAAACTTGGTAGACTAAAAGTTCTAACATTAATCTAGGACGCAATACTAGATTTTAAATAAATAGGGACTTAAAATTTCCTTTTTGGATCATGTTTCGAATACGTATTTTACAAATCAATCGTCAGATAAAGAGAGTTCGACATTGAGTTTGAGTCAAGATTTTTAGTTTCTAAACATTGAGAAGTTTCTCGGTTTTGTTTTAAATGCTCAATAAACTTAGAGCTTGATAAAATACCGAGAGATTTGACTAGTTTTTGTTTAGCTTACCTGGACGGCTGAGTTTAAGAAGCAGTTGTTTTGACCAGGATTATTCAACAGTCCTTTATTCTGAGCCATTGACATCGTTCGCTCAAGTCTTTCTTCACGATTCATTGTTTAAAAAAATAACCAAGGGCTTCTTCTTACTTAAAACGAGTTGTCTAACTGAAAAATATCTATTTAGATCAAAATATCCGAACTCTTGCAGCTCTGCCACTTCGTAAAGTTGTTTTAATTYGACTTTATGATTTTTCTTCGTAGTGTTGTGCAGTTGAAGACTCGCTAAACTTCGTTACAAAGAATCCAAAAAAGGTGATAAAATTCCAACCCAAACTCTCGAATCATTTCTCTATTCCCTTATAAATGTGTCTCGTAGGTGAAAAGCTTTTTAGTTGGTCTTAAAAGCTGTTAAAATCCTCGAAAAAGTTCATGGTTTCCAGACTAGTAACCCAGTCGCCATGTTGTATAATTCGTTCAGGTATTAGAAACAACAGTGACGTCACACACTCAATGCAGAATATTTTAAATATTTTTATGGATTTTTGGATTTTTTTTAACCGTAAAAATAAATAAATAGATTTTTTYGAAAACATATTTTTTTACAATATGTTACCTAGGAGATCTTTATGTACAATTTTGAATAAGTGCAATAAAATTTGAACTTTCGAAAATTACCAGAATACTTCAGTGAAGATTATTTTTTTGGCGCTAAAATGTTCAACGTTACATAACTTCCAAAATTGTACTTCAAATATTAGAAGCTATTAACAGTTAGTTATTCAGCAAGTAAATAATCTTTAATTGCAAAAAGCAACTTTTTTGTTGCTAACATTTTAATTTATCATTTTTTAGGTTTGTGGGCACTCGCTCCTATACGGTTACCAACTCTTCATTCTTGAAAAAAAAATTATCTACCAAAAAAAAAGCTTATGATTCCTAAAGAATATTTCTGAATAAAAATTAACATGAATGAATCTATATTAAGGGCAAAATGATTTCCGAAAAATATATCAGCATAGAGTTCTTATCGAAAAACAACATAGAGCAAAAAATCGCCAGAATTTGTATTTTTATTATTAATAATTCATAACAAACTAGGTTTTTCCGGGATATTTCAAGCCACCAACCATTTAGTTAAGTTAAATATAGTATTTTTTTTGCTATTTTAGGAGATGCAGTTCGTGAACCACTTCGATTTCGATATTGCATGACAGTTGCCTAGTGAAGTACTTAAACGAAATGTCTCTTGACGTCATAGGAAAATATTACCATATTTCTAAAAATATACTATGGAATGATTTCCTTAATTGGAAAAAGAGGAAATGTTCATAGTTTAAATTGAATTGATGTCTTCCGAATTTCACGTCAACGTCAGATGCCTTAGAAACTACTGCCTTCAAAGGGGAAAAAATATCTTTGGACTTTTTAAAATCGTTTTGTTTGATGATCCAAAGTTCTGTGCTTTAGGATTTAAACTTTTGTGTTTTATTCTGTTATGTTATTCCACAGGAAGCCCAATCTCATATAACTGGACGGTGCATAAGGCAATGTATGGAAAGTTACTCTCTAGCTTATAACTCTGTGAAAAATAAAAAAAATAAATCCAAACCTTCATGTGGTGTTCCTTATGTTTTTATTGTTGTTTGGTGGCGATTTCAGGACGATTTGGTGGATTTTAGCTGAGTTCTCCCCTCACTACTGTAGTGAAATATTTAGGAAATATTTCAATTTTAGCATATACCAACTTGTGTACTTCCTAAGAACGCGCGCGCTCATTGGTTAATTGGAG